ATTCGTGTAATTCATCTTGGCTTTTCGAACGACGTATACTAAGGCTTTGATTACTCCAATACGCCGTTAGAAGGTGCGTTGAAAAGTCAAGATCAAAATAAAGCATGTGGACGAGATTCACTTTCCCAAACTGAATTACTGTTCGCAGAACATCATAGAGTGACAATGAATAATTCCAATGTGACTACAAACAACACTCTGGAAAGAAGCGGTGATTCCGAGATATCATGCCCGCACGGGAGCCCCGACACGAACTTAACAAAAGCGTTCAAGACGATTATCTACTGTGTGATAATTCTCGGGTCAATCCTTGGAAACTCGTTCGTCATCTTAGTGGTGTATAAGAGGAAAAGAATGAGGACCACGACAAACTACATGATAGTCAGCATGGCCGTCAGCGATCTGTTTTTTGCCATCTTTGCTGTTCCGCCGTCCATCCGGACTGTTTACGCTGGGCACGATCTTCTTGTTAGAGGAATCACAGCTGAGCTGATTTGCAAATTGGTTACATTCATTCAGCAGGTGTCAATAGATGTCTCTATCCTATCGCTAACCGCCATTGCCTTTGATCGCTTCTTCGCTATCATGTTACCTTTTCGTAAAGTGATCACATGTCGCACCACAAAAATTCTCATCGTCTTAACTTGGCTATTTGGGATTTTGTTTGCAGCTCCAATTCTGTACACTAACCGAATTGTCGCGGGAGAGGGAGGCGATGGAACCATTTGCGAGGAAATTTGGGAACCCCTTTTCGAAAGCAGTAAAGCGAGAAAAGATTACACTTTTATTCATTTTGGTTTTTTCTATGCGGGCCCACTCACGATTATAACAGTTCTCTACACGGCCATCGTGATTGAGTTATGGCGCGGGAATTCCATCACATTTCGCTGCAAAGCAAATCACCAAGAGGTTGAAAAATCAAATAGGAAAGTGCTCAAGATGCTTGTGACTGTGCTGGTTGTTTTCGCACTCTTCTGGCTTCCGGTGTACATCTTTCAATTTACGTTTTACGTAGCAAACAACACTTGCATAGTCTCTGGAGTAATTCAATTTCTTGGTTATTTCTTTTGTCAAGCTACTAGCGCGATAAATCCCCTCATCTATGCGTTTTTCAGCGAAAACTACAGGAGTGGATTCAAAGATTGTTTGCGCGCTATTCTTCATTGTCAAGGCAGAAAGCTTTTTCAAAGCGATTCCTCGACGATAAAGAGTGTCGGAAGTCGCGATCGGCGAAACAAAAAGGTTGAATTGTACTTTCTGTGAAAACTGGAAAATCGTATTCTACTCTCAATGCGCGCAAAAAGATGTTCGAGAGGGAGGCTCGTTTACTGTTTGTTTATCGTCAGCTTTTTTTTCTCCTGTTCATCAGACACCACAGCCGCGTACGAGTGATCGTTTCTTCCCCGCGGCCTGTCGCGTCCGAAAGGAAAGCATTTTTCTGTTGTTTTGCATAAAAATTGAGCCTTTGCCGATCGGATTGCGTGAGACATAATAACGTCAGTTTTTCTTTTCCTTGATTAATTTTAATATTGGGAAATTTATGCAAACTTGAGAAATGCTGTATATTTGTCGTACGGCGTTCATTAAATGTATATATGTATATATAATATTTTTACATTTATTGCGAAAAGTTCTTTAGAGGATTAAACAGTAAAACGTCTTCAAGAACTTTGTAAGGAACGAAATAGATAAAGACTACTAACGAACTGCTTCATTTTTAT